CCCCAAACCCCCAAAACCCCAAAACCCCAAAACCCCTCAATCTGAAGCATTCATTGAAAATAGTGGTGATCGACACCTATTTAGAAAGATTAAGTAAACCCATAATTTGAGTACTAGTTGAAATCAGAATGGACCCTATCATTGCCAGAATCAATCCAGATACCTGCAATGGACTTGGGACCTGAAAAAGGAAAATAGCAGCCAAAGCTGTCTGTAAAGGAGCCTGTATACTTGAGAGAGCAGCAGCTGGTCCTGAGTATCCTGTTGAGATTGAGTAATACATCATTATCATTGACGTTTCTTGTAGGATACCACCAATGATTCAATCCTTCAAAAGACTCATTTCGACACCATAATTTATAACATGGGTTAGAAATGGAATCAATAGAATTGAGCCTCAGATTATGTACGAAATTGACATGAAATCTAGAGCAGAATATTGGTACCGAACTCAGAACGCTTTGAGAGCCAATGAACGCCCTGTAAAGTATATAGTGCTTATCAATCCAAAAAGTATTGGCAAGATCGATGAAACTGCTGAACCATTTGATTGAGTGTGGCCACTTCCACTAAAACCATAAAGAATGGCTGATGTAGTCATTGAAATCATCCCAATTATTTGTACTGAGTTGATCCTTTCATCAAATAACAACCAACCAAAAATTGATAAGAACACAGAAGTAAAGGAAAACAGCGTTGAGATGATTCCTTGGTTGATTCCTGCATAGAAGGCATATTCAAAGGTAAGTACCACTAAGAACCCTCCTCCGATGCTTACAAGGGCGTCTACAAAGATGATTGCTATTTTAAGCCCCTTATGAGTTCTGTACTCACGAATTTCAATGACATCATCCTCTTGTCCTTCTCCATTAAGCCTCTGGTAGGCTGTTTTAACGCTAAAATAACCTATGCCTGCAATCAAGTTGCCAATAGAGATCATGCTTCTGGCATGAAATCCCTCTGTAGATGCTTTGCCTACGAAGAGGCTGCCAATCCCAGCTGTTATTCCTCCTAAAATTCCCCATAAAATCCAATAGTTGCTGTGGACTTCAAAGCTGGCCAGTTCCTTAGTGCTCTCTTCAGTGCTGGCTTCAAAGTCTTCAAGCAAGGACTTCCGCTTGTCGTTTGGTGAGACTAAACTCCACAAATCATCCTGCTCTTCACTCTTCAAGTTCCCTAACATCTCTCCAATTCTTCTCAATTTTAATTGTACAAAGAGGGGTTTTGGGGTTTTGGGGTTTTGGGGTTTTGGGGTTTTGGGG